TTTCCCTCTTTTCTTTGCAGGATATGTATGTAACTGCTCTGTGGTCGGAAGCCTGGATGTGAATCGCTGCAACCAGACCACAGGGCAGTGCGAGTGTCAGCCAGGTTATCAGGGTCTTCGCTGTGAAACCTGCAAGGAGGGTTTGTACCTGAATCGTACTTCCAGACTCTGTCTGCCATGTGACTGTAGTCCACGTGGAGCCCTCAGCATACTCTGCAACAGGTAAGCAGCAGAAGTTGAAGGTAAAATTAATTTTATTTTATCACACACACAAAAAGGCCTCTGCTCTCAAGGACCAGACTGGTTTAAATAAAGGGGCCGTAGATTTACAAAATATTTCACATATTTTTATCATTTTGGAAATTATATTTAATGTCAAGATTTAAAAGCTTCTAATTTACTGATTTAGTTCTTCAAAAGCACCTTGGTAACCACTTTTGCCTTGTAATAGTTTCTCTAAATTTCATGGAAAAAAGTATTGAGAAAGCAGTCTGCTTCCTGGAAGCAATAACTTCCAGGGATTTCCAGTGAAAATGTCCTTGTTATGTTTATTAACATATTATTAGAGTTTCAGGAAACTTATTCTTTGGTTTATTTTTTCTCTTTTCAAAATTCTAAAGCTGTTTCTTTGCACATGTAAGGCTTAAACTTGGTAATATCCTGATGTCTTTAATTAGTGTGAAAAAGACTGGTTTCACTCTATGTACCAGTATATACATTTTGGGGGACCAAAACTAGATTAAGCAGAAATTGTCTGGAAATTACCTTTAAAATAGTAAATTATTTGTAGGTGACTTAATCTAGTAGAACAGTGCCCTGTAATCTAAGGATTTGCCTTCTACTCCACTGAAAGTAATTATCATTTGACCTTGTGTGAGGTACTTAGCTTTCTGTGGACCCCAAGTGAAAAAGCTGAAGAGGCAGTGTTATGTGATGAAAAGAACAGAGCTTTAGGATCAGTCTAACCTGGGTATGGATCCAAGATCGTCTGCCACTTAGGAGCTTTGTGATTTCAGCAACTTCTTTCACTTCTCTGCACCTCAGTTTCTTCTCAAGGTTGTTGTGAAGGTTAAATGAGTAGAATCTATGTAAAATACCCAGCACACATCACTCAATTAATTCTGGTTTCTTTCAATTTCAGAGGAATATTGTTGGCTTGATGAGGGAGTATTTTTAAATAATTTTTAGCTCCTTGGCAGAAAAGTTTCTTTATACTTAGCAGTAGATTCTTTGGATGCTTTATAAATCGTATAGTACAGGGACTTCCCTGATGGTCCAGTGGTTAAGACTCCACGCTTCCACTGCAGGGGGCCTGGGTTTGATCCCTGGCTGGGGAACTAAGATCCCACATGCAGCGCGGTGCAGCACCCCCCCAAAAATTGTATTGTACAATACTGTATCATATTGTACTTCTATTAAAAATATAGATGTGAACGTAAGAAGTTTATAATTTCAAATACGACAATAATCGATGTTTATGATGCTTGGTATTTTTAAATAGTTAACTGTCTAAATCCTCATAGCAACTCCTTTTATGTAGGTTATTAAATCACAAAGATAGTAAGTGGCAGAAAAGGAATTCCAAATTTCATCTTCCAGTACTAAGTCCAGTATTCTTATCATCATGCTGTATAGCTTCTATAATGAGAAAACTGATAATCACTTTGTTACTTGAGTTTGAGAATATAATGGTTGCTTACCATTGCTCCCTTTACTCTCCTAAAACATGCCAACACAAGTTATATTCAGAAGGCCTACATTTCTTACCATTTTAAAAGATGAGATTTGTATAAGTTTGTTCATTCTGATACCTAAAGGCATATCCACTACTTTTTTTTTAATAATATTTATTTATTTGGCTGTGCTGAGTCTTAGTTGCGGCACTTGGGATATTTGTTGTGGCATGTGGGCTCTTCGTTGTGGTGTGCAGTCTCCTCCCTAGTTGCAGCATGTGGGCTCCAGAGCACATGGGCCCTGTATCTGCGGCATGCAGGCTCTCTAGTTGTGGCACGTGGGCTCAGTAGTTGCTTCATGGTATGTGGGATCTTAGTTCCCTGACCAGGGATTGAACCTGCGTCTGCTGTATTTAAAGGCGGATTCTTAACCACTGGACCACCAGGGAAGTCCCCTGTCCATTACTTCTTTTAAAATAAGATTCTGCAAACACATTTGCTTTGAGTACTTTTGGAAAGATAAAAAACTGTTTACTTCTAGGCCAAACTACCTTATTAGAGGAGAAAGAAATGAGAAGAGTGAGAGAGAGTTTGAAAAGCTGGAGAAGAGGGAAAAAAGTAATACTAATGTTTATGTAGTATACTGCTGTTTTCATAGGTCTTTTACAAATCACTTTTTACTTATCTTTCCCCTGACAGTGAATGTCGTCAAGTGACATAGGCTAAAACACCATTCTGAAAATAGGTAGTAACTATAAAGTAGTGGAAAAGTGCACTGGACATTCGAAAGGCTAGGGCAGGGGTCTGTAAACCAAATCCAGTCCACTGCCTGTTTTTGTAAATAAAGCCTCATTTCTTGATTGTTTTGGCCCCAAGGATAGGCATATTAAAATTTTGAGATAAATCCATAATTCTTTTCTATGAGTTACTACAGAGTAATATTTAATTAAATTTTTAAAATAATATTATTTAAAAATGTCAGGCAATTTGTCAGAGCAAGCAGTGCATCACAAAAGTCATTTAAAAACTTGTACTTAAAGAAAGTCATTAGAAGGAAGGCATGGGAGCTCAGAATCCAGCTCTAAACACTGCATTTCTTTTTTTTTTTCTTTTTGACTTTTTATTTTATTTTATTAAAAAATGTTTTAAACATCTTTATTGGAGTATAATTGCTTTACAATGGTGTGTTAGTTTCTGCTTTATAACAAAGTGAATCAGCTATACATATACATATATCCCCATATCTCCTCCCTCTTGTGTCTCCCTCCCACCTGCCCTATCATGTCCCTCTAGGTGGTCACAAAGCACCGAGCTGATCTCCCTGTGCTATGTGGCTGCTTCCCACTAGCTATCTGTTTTACATTTGGTAGTGTATATGTGTCCATGCCACTCTCTCACTTCATCCCAGCTTACCCTTCTGCTTCCCCGTGTCCTCAAGTCCATTCTCTATATCAGCGTTATTCCTGTCCTGCCCCTAGGTTCTTCAGAACCATTTTTTTTTTTAGATTCCATATATATGTGTTAGCATACAGTATTTGTTTTTCTGACTTACTGTCACTCTGTATGACAGACTCTAGGTCCATCCATCTCACTACAAATAGCTCAATTTTGTTTCTTTTTATGTCTAATATTCCATTGTGTATATGTGCCACATCTTCTTTATCCATTCATGTGTCGATGGACACTTAGGTTGCTTCCGTGTCCTGGCTATTGTAAATAGAGCTGCAGTGAACACTGTGGTACATGACTCTTTTTGAATTACAGTTTTCTCGGGTATATGCCCAGTAATGCGATTGCTGGGTCGTATGCTAGTTCTATTTCTAGTTTTTTAAGGAACCTCCACACTGTTCTCCACAGTGGCTGTATCAATTTACATTCCCACCAACAGTGCAAGAGGGTTCCCTTTTCTCTACACCCTCTCCAGCATTTATTGTTTGTAGATTTTTTGAGATGATGGCCATTCTGACTGGTGTAAGGTGAGACCTCATTGTAGCTTTGATTTGCATTTCTCTAATGATTAGTGATGTTGAGCATCCTTCTCATGTGTTTGTTGGCAATCTGTATATCTTCTTTGGAGAAATGTCTCTTTAGGTCTTCTGCCCGTTTTTGGATTGGGTTGTTTGTTTTTTTGATATTGAGCTGCATGAGCTGCTTGTAAATTTTGGAGGTTAATCCTTTATCAGTTACTTCATTTGCAAATATTTTCTCCCATTCTGAGGGTTGTCTTTTTGTCTTGTTTATGTTTTCCTTTGCTGTGCAAAAGCTTTTAAGTTTCATTAGGTCCCATTTGTTTATTTTTATTTCCATTTCTCTAGGAGGTGGGTCAAAAAGGATCTTGCTGTGATTTATGTCATAGAGTGTTCTGCCTGTGTTTTCCTCTAAGAGTTTTATAGTGTCTGGCCTTATATTTAGGTCTTTAATCCATTTTGAGTTTATTTTTGTGTATGGTGTTAGGGAGTGTTCTAATTTCATTCTTTTACATGTAGCTGTCCAGTTTTCCCAGCACCACTTACTGAAGAGGCTGTCTTTTCTCCATTGTGTATTCTTGCCTCCTTTATCAAAAATAAGGTGACTATATGTGCATGGATTTATCTCAGGGCTTTCTATCCTGTTCCACTGATCTATGTTTCTGTGTTTGTGCCAGTTCCATACTGTCTTGATTACTGTAGCTTTGTAGTATAGTCTGAAGTCTTGGAACCTGATTCCTCCAGCTCCGTTTTTCATTCGCAAGATTGTTTTGGCTATTTGGGGTCTTTTGTGTTTCCATACAAATTGTAAGCACTGCATTTCTTACTACAAGAAAGGAAGTTAAATTGACATGAGACTTGAGGAACAGAAATGGGAAGTTGCAGGACTATGTACTTTGGCAAGAACATATGGGTGAACTCTGAGGAAACACCTCTGTGTTCTGCTCTGCTATAAATTATATGTGGGTAAGTTAAGGGAAAAAGGAAATTGTAGGCAAGTAGTGTGATATGTAGCAGAGAGGTGGAATCTGAAATTAGTACTTTGATTCCATTCTTGATTTAGCCACTTACTAACTGTACAATCTTGATTAAGATATTTGACCTCTCTGAGCCTCAGTGTTTTCATCTGTAAAATAGGATTCATAAATGTAGAATGAAGAATTTTTGTGAGAATTAAATTGTGTGTGTGTATACCCACTTACATTGTAACTGGCACTTAGATTCGGCTCAGTAACCCCCCAGTAGTTGAGTCTGGTTTATTTTATTTTATTTTTTTATTTATTATAAATTTATTTATTTATTTATATTTTTGGATGCATTGGGTTTTTGTTGCTGCACATGGGCTTTCTCTCTAGTTGCGGCAAGTGGGGCTACTCTTCATTGCAGTGCAAGGGCTTCTCATTGTGGTGGCTTCTCTTTGTTGTGGAGCATGGGCTCTAGGCACATGGGCTTCGGTAGTTGTGGCACACGGGCTCACTAGTTGTGGCTCGCGGTCTCTAGAGCTCAGGCTCAGTAGTTGTGGCACATAGGCTTAGTTACTCCGCGGTATGTGGGATCTTCCTAGACCAGAGCTTGAACCTGT